TCCCCCAGCCAGCCATGCTGGCTGGGGAATTCTGGGAGTTGAAGTCCACATGTCTTAAAGTTGCCAAGGCTGAGAAACACTATTCTATAGAGTGCATCTCTAAAGAGGAAGAATAAAGGGTTGGTTACTTTGTAAATGTTGACCAAGGAGATATAGTCCCAGGTCTATTGTATGCCAATTGCACCCATTCCTGGAACTGGAGACCCTACTCATGGTCTTTCATGCCCTAATCACCTCCCACCCAGACAACTGCAAAGTTCTCTACATGGGGCTGCCCTTGAAAACCACCTTTGTGAGCTGCACTGGCTCCCTATACGATTTTGGGTGCAATTCAAGATGCTGATTATCACCTATAAAGCCTTTCATAGCATACAGCCCGGTTCCTTGAGAGCCTGCCTGTTTCCAGTTGCCTCTGCTTGCCCCGGGAGATCCAGCAGAATGGACATGATTCTGGTCCTTCCACAAAATCATGCTATCTAGTGAGACCCAGGAGGTATGCCTTCTCTGTTGCAGTGCCTGCCCCGTGGGACATGCCCTCTGAAGTTTGGGTAGCTTGAACCCTTCTGTCCTCCTGAAAGGCCCTAAAAACCTGGCTGTTCCCCCCAAGCATTGGCCCAGGCTGTCTGATGAGTCCATATACATAGAATATAAGGCCCTAAATGAGATATGTGTTGGTTGGCCCCAGTTACTTCTCTATTATTGTTATTTCTGTTATTCCGTCATCTTCCAAAAGTATATTGTATGGTGTCTTTTTCATGTTTCTTCAAACTGCAAATGGCCCAGAGTTGCTCTTGTGAATTAAACAGCCAAATAAATCCAAATAAGAAATAAATAATCTGGTTCCAACTGAAAGAGGTGTTACCAATCTATTAAACCCTTGAATACCTCATCTCATATATTCTTTCTGATAGCTTCTGGTCATCTTCAGAGGCCTTGCTGTAACTGCAGTGGGTAATTATTCAGAAACAGATCTTCTCAATGGTAGCAGTTCAATTCTGGAATATCCTTCTCCAAGTGGTACATTTCGTGTCTACTATATCGTCTTTCCAGTACTCGGCAAAGACTTTATTCTCTCAGGCCTTTAAATATGTTATATGTTAATACTTCAAACATATATACAGAGTAGATGGTTTTTAAAAACAAATCTTCTAATAGGTGTGTTCGTGTATTTATTTATTGTTTTAATTTTAAAAAATTGTTAATATTGTGGTTTTAAACTCAGTTTTGTAGGGGGGCATACAAATATCAAAGGATAAAGCAATATGTGCTACTTGGGCAGAGATTTTGGGATATTTTAGTTATATTTTGTGCTGATTATACTATAGCACTATATGGTATTTATTAGTAAACCAGTGACTATTGATAAGTTTAATATATAAAGTAGATTTTTTTCTCTTTTCTTAGTTTGTTTGTTTTTTATCCTTTTCTTTTGGGGTGGGTGTCCCATAACAAGTCTAAGAATTGTTTCATTTAATTGTAATTTTTTTAGTATATGTAGATGTTTTGCCAATGCTTTGTCTCTTGTATTTTGATTTTTTTAGATTTAAAAACAGAACATGTAGCACAAAACTATCATTTTATTATCAGATGAACTCAGTCAAAATGGGCACACATTAATAAAATATATTTGACTAAACCTGGTTTCTTTCTGTATCCTTCTGTAAAATCTACTGAAACCTATCGTCCTGCAATGACATTGTCAAGGCAAGGACTAACCAGGAGACCGAGATCTTACCTCCTCTTCTTCAAGAAGAATAAGCCGAACAAGCACGATGTGGATCGCATTGCCAATGCTCGGGTCATGGAACAATCCTGCCACCTGAATCAAAGCCAGGTAATATGAAGTCAGTGGATTCCTCTTCTGTATCAGTTTTTTTTTTCCTATTAGTGATGATACAATTTATTTCTACAGTATGTCAGTGTCAGAGGTGTCTGTGGAGGGGTGCCAGCGAAGTCAAGATGGCACCTGGGAGATCCACTACAAAGCCACTGAAGCCCCACCCTCTTTTACGTGCTTTGATTGCATGGTTGTGGCCACCTTCTTGACTTTTTTGATACATGTCCCCCACCCCCATGAACACCATTGGTCAACATCAAAGTATCTGGCAGAAAACAAAAGATAGTTCCTTGTTCCAATGAACTTACAAGCTAAATATGACTGGGGAAAGAGGAAGAGACAAAAGGAAAAAAGGAGAAGGAAGAGATACAGCAATGCTGGCTGGGAATTATTGGAACAAAGTACCATATATCTGGAGGTCAGGGGACACTGGGTTGGGAGAAACAAGGACAAATGAAACAAAGTTAAACAAAAAGCAAGGAAAACCTATATAGGGTTTGCTTTGGCTGCTGTGGATGAGAACTCAGGAGCTTAGCTGAACTGGGAGTGTTGCTGCTTTTGCTAAAACATTTTGGATGAGTCTTACACTGTTTTCTCCATCTGCACTTTACATACTTCTTCAGGCATATCTAGGATAAAAAACTGTTCTTCCACAAAAGCATCTTTCTATTTTTTAATGTGACAGGAGAAAATAACTAAATATATGAGATAAATACATTAACTGAATTTAATTCAATTTACATTTAATTACTTTAACATCAAATTAAATCAAATTTAGCTTTCATTCTACCTACCCACCAGCTTCTTTGTCCTGCCATCATCAGCTTCAGGGTGCTTTCCATTCAAAGGCCAAAGGTAGCCTTCAGTCTAAGAAAATGACATATGCTGGCTGCAAAGCTAGGGGAGAAATTAACTATATGACTCACCATATTTATGATAGTGAGGATATAGGATTCCACATTTTCACTTCCATGGTATTCAATCATTTTACTGTCAGCAACCACCAAAGTCTCCACCCATCGTTCTCTACTGACAGAACGCCGGTAGGTTGTTCTTGGCGTCACACGGTTCCTTTCCCACTTCTCCCTTCGAAGTTCTTGCTGTTTGAAAAAGTTTGACGTTTCTGAAACAAAAGTCAAATAGTGTTGAATGTATATTCTGTGAAGGTACTGTAACTGACATATTTCTCTTTTTCACAGGCTCAAAATATTCCATGGACCACTTTGGTCACAAGTCTACCTCAGACAAGGAGAACAACCAGGAGGACTTGTCTCAACAACCAGACGCAGTAGTTCTAGCCTCAGCAACTATGAGAAGGCAGCAACAGACCCATTATCCCAGACTTAGACCCACAAGACTCTAATCCAGAGTTTATTTATCCTAAGTTCATCTGGGGGATAAAGGACTATACTTTAAAATCTGATTAACGTGACCCGAACACGATATTTTATTGACATTACCTCATCTCTAATCATTTTTCCCTGGTATCATAATATCTTAGATAGTTAGTAGGATATTATGCTCTACCTCTCATTTATTCAGAGGACCAGCTGATTATGATCAATTTAAACTTGATTCAGCAATTAGATATGAAAATGTGTTTCTCTTTAAAGAGATACACAACAAAATTCTTCCTCTTAGCTTAATTAGAGCGTGAAGGTTTAGTTTACATTTTTGCAAAAGGAGTGTTTCTCAGTACAGTAGAGTCTCGCTTATCCGACATAAATGGGCCGGTGGAACGTCGGATAAGTGAAAATGTCGGATAACACACAGTAACAATTGAGTGCAGTAAAAAAAAAACTGATCCGCATACAATAACAAACTGCACTGAGCGACCATTAGGAAAGGCGAGACATGACCGACACATGAGTCATAGGCTAGACGCGCACGCCTGCTGCGCCTGTTGCAATCGATTTTTGCGTTGCGGCGCCACACCGTCAGGAGCAACAAGAAAGAGTACACTCACGCTCGCGAACAAGCGGCACACTTTACTCGTCGCCGATTTATGTGTGTTGTTGTGTTCTTTTTAGGAGCGTCGGATAAGACAGAATGTCGGATAAGCAAAGGTCGGTTAAATGAGAGTCTACTGTAGTTCTGACCTTAAAACAACAACAACAACAAAGACCAAAACAGGTTTGCTTTGGTTGCAAATGTAGCAGCAGAGCCAGGAAAAAAACCCCTAAGGCCATACAACTCCTACCAGTTTAGTTCTTAAAGCCTGATGGCTGATTTGGTCAGGAAGTTGATCAAAATCCTTGAGTGGAGACGGTCCCCTGCAAGCGGGAGGGGGGGGGGGGGTTCCTCTTCAGCAAGTGTAGGAAATTTGCACTGCCAACTTCATGCCTCAAGTAGGCATGGCTGCACAATCATCATCTAGTCAACTACAACTTCTGAAAAAGCCTCAGCCCCAAAATCACTTGATGCGTCAAATAGTCATGACAAAGCTTTCACATGTATCTCATAGCCTAACACTTAAACACAGGTGTTTTTCAACAAGAACAGATCTAATTGAGCTTCAGCAGACTTTACTGCAAGTCTCAATTATATTTTGTTCAGTAAGCTGAAGAATAAAGAAAGTTGGCAAGATAAAATAAAATGAATTTTCCATTTGCAGGTTTTTTTTTTATTACCAGAAATCATTAAACAATTTTCAATGTATCAACTTTGCAAGATCAAATATTTCACACAAAAGCCTTTCTTTTTTCCTTACCAGACTTTAATAACCTTTGTGTATTATTAAAAAGGCATAATATCTCATTCAGATGAAGCTTTCATTCCTTCCCATGAATTTAACATAAGGCATAGAGTTCTTCTGGTGGGCTGGATTGCAGAGCATGCTTCCATCACGCTTAACTGAGTCAATGGAAGTCAAGGATGCCCACCAGAGGGGAAAGGTGGGCAACTGATGATATTTGACATTATCAAGCAAATGGGGTGGTTTATATAATGCAAGTATGTAAATCACACCATTTGCCCAGTGACATCATGATGCAAGTTTTCATCATTTTGACATCACTGTGACCAGTTATGGACATCTCTGATGGCTGGGTGTATTGTACAAACACCAAAACCCAATCAGCAGTAGATAAGGAGAGAGTTAGTTTTAACCAAAATGTTTGAGGCTAAACTACCCTATGAAATTCTCTGTGTAGCTTCTCTATGAGAAAAGGTTGTGACATTTGGGGCTTTAGCAAATGAGAGGGGATATGATTGAGATGTACAAAATTATGCATGCTGTGGATAAAGTGGACAAGGAGAAGCTATTTCTCCCTGCCCAACATACTAAAATCAGAGGTCACCCAACGAAATTGAATCCTGGAAGAAACAGGACAAAAGGATTTTTTTTTCTTTTACACAATGCACAATTAAACTTTGAAGTTTGCTACCATGAAATGTGGTGCTGGCTACCTCCTTGGCTGGCTTCAAAAAAATTCATGAACCTCATGGGGATCAATGGCTATTGGCCTTGATGGCAGTGTAACTAACTGTAAAGGCCATCTGCTGGGAGACTAGTGGGCTTCCTTGTGGTCACTTAAGTCTACTGCAGACATACCCCTCCCTATTTAGTCACGGAGTATTGCCCTCTGGCACCATTTTGGCTTGGGTTGTGAGAGAGACCAGAGACTTGACCAGCACAGAGCAGGCCTAGATGCTGGAATTTTGGGGGGAGGGGGGTGTTTTTACCACAGAGAAAGGGTGGTGTCTTTAATGCATTCTGTTCTTGAATTAATGGCACAAGTCTCTGGAATGGAATTGCTGAAGTTAGCAATATTCAGCAGTTAGTGTGAAACTTACTATAAGTAGTCCTCATTTTGTGACCACAATTGGGACCAGCAACTTGGTCACTAAGTGAAACTGTGGCTGTGCTTATAATCTTACTTCAGGTTTCCTTTGCTTTACAGACCTGTGAAGCTCGTAAATGCAAGGATTGGTTGCAAAGTTACTTTTTCATCACTGCCATAATTGAATGACTGCTAAAGGAGGACAACCATAAAGTTTGCTTACTAAAGTATGGCTAAGAAATTGTTCTGAAAGAAAGAGGTGATATTAGAGGAGAATCATTTCCAATCATTGGAAAAACGTGGGTCTCATGAACCTGAAGAAAAGTATGCATGTGAATGGAAATGGGATCTTCAAGCAGTTTGGAAACTTCTTGGTTTCCATATATTCAAGACTTGGTTAGCAACCATATTGATTTTGCACAGCAAGACATTTTAGGACATGGAGGAGGGGGAGGAAAAGGAGAGGAAAGAGAGAAGAGAAACACCTCTTCTAGGTGCAGCTCAAAAGTTTTGGCTGTTCATTTCCTTAGCCTTTAATTGCCTTCTCTAGCGTGTAACCTGCCCATCAGAAGATTGAGTCATGCAGTCCCAGTCTTGCGAGATGTATTATACTTTAAAATTTATCAGTATTTATAAATTTGCATTTATTACCATTAATTGCACACATATAATTTTATGCCAATGTAGTATTTTCTTTTGGATACCCCCATTTTGGGGGTTGTTGTCAGTGACACACACTGCCCTGCCTCCTGCCTCCCGCAAGAGCCAAATAAATAGCTGTGAGACGCCCATAAGAACAGCATGAGGACAACCTATTGTTGTTTCCTATTCCGGAATAAACATTCACAGGCAGGCTGTTTTCCAGTTTTGCAGTTGACATCCATAACACTACATCAGTGTTGTCCAAACTTGGCCACTTTAAGATGAGTGGACTTCAATTCCAAGAATTCCCCAGCCACCCATGCTGGCTGGGGAATTCTT